TTACTTACCATTTACCAGGATCAATCGAGACGCAATTTTGCCTGTGCGATATTGAGAACTGACAAAAAATTTGAAACTGGTTAATATCTTTACCATTTCTAATTCCGAATCATACGAAAAAATATAGTTTTGGTTCAATTTTTCACTATATTATTATTTTTATTACTTATAAACAAGAGATCTGGGATATTACTATGATTTCAAAAAATAATCAAATTAGAATCTGTATAAAATAGCTTAAGTTGATTGTAATTAGTTAAATTTTAGAGCGAAAAATCTTACAATGTAAAATCAACTTTACAGTTTTAGAGACATGATTTTAAGGCCTACGTTTCTGTAGACTTGTCTCCAGAAGGTTTTCAATAACTAGAGTTTGAATATGATCCAGCTAAAAAAGTTTTGGATCATTCAGAAGATTTTACATTGAAAAAACAATCTTACAGTTTTATATTAATGGTTTTTTACCATACTATTTTGTAAAAATGTCAGCGGGAGGTTTGCAATAACTAGATTTTGAATATGTCCAGCTGGACAGTTTGTGGAACATTCAGTAAAAAGTTTACAATGGAAAAATGCATCTTACAGTTTTACATTAAAGAATTTTTCCTAGAGAATACCTACCTTTTTGTAGGAACGTCTCCAGTAGGTTTGCAATAATCAGAGTTTGAATGTGATCCAGCTAAAACATTTGTGGAAGATTCAGGAAAAATTTTACCATGTAAAATCTGTCTTACTTATGCACTTTCTCAGAGATTTATTTCGATACATTTTAAACCCTTACCAAGGGTAGCCGTTACTTAGTAGATTTGATACTGGACGGTTTTTTTCTTCATCTTATATTCTGGTTCTGAAATAACTTTTTTTTTTGCCATGTTTAACCCAGTTCTTAGATCTTTATTGCGTGTTGTTGAGTTTATTTTAAATACTGTTATATTGTATTTATTTCCTATCTTTTTGTTTTTCTGAATGGTATTTTATTGCTTTCTCATATTAAATAACAATTGAATTCATAACCATCTGAATACTGATCTAAATAAGCTCAAAAATGTTATCGGCAATTGTTTGCCATAAAAATCTAGTCTACATCGGTAAAATATTCATATAATTTTCGATGAATATAACTTTGCTTTGGGAACAAGTTTCCTACACAATTTAAATGTAATGCTTGTGCGATTATCTTTCTAGATTTCAAGACCTCTCGAAAAAATATAATTTTACATGCTTCGTGAAACCCATAAGAATTACCGAAATTCATACACCGGATTCAAACTCCCTAATTTCCTAGCCACTTTAACTCAACCGTATTTATTTTAAGATCTAGAAAAAGGATCACAATCTACCTGCATATCTCCGGCATTATGTTCAAGTCAACTGTGACAATTGGATTACCTGGGCCTGTGAATGTTTCTGCACTTTTTCTATCTTTAAAAGGTATTGATAATGATCGCTGGGAATACAATTCCTTTGTCATTCGCTCGTTGTTTTATTTTATTTCTGTAATAAAGTGATAAACAAAGAATATTTAATGTGAATGTGAATAACAATATCGTTAGGTAATTTTATAGCTTTTTTTATCTCTTGTACGTTTTATCAATGATGATTTGCTTCCACGATAGGTTTTATGTTGTTAAAATTGGAGATAAGTGAGATATACCATGCAGCTAGTTTGTGGAAGATCTATAAAGTGTTCATCTTAGATACTAAACATTGTTGTGTATCAACGAAACGCGTTAAGATATCTATCAGTGAATTAAGTTTATTAATTGAATGGACTTTTATTCGTTCTATGATTTAAAGCGCTGTCAAAGCTGGCGAAAATGTAGTTTCATTATATCTTTCTCAGTAAGCACAACATATCATTGAAATTATTATTTAAACTGGAATACACATGCCACTTGGTAAATAGGACCAAAATTTGACACTTATAATGCATGGGAAGATTTAAGAAAGAAAATTTTTTGGTCGAAGGTAGAATTCTTGCTTGAAGAATCTACGTGATTGGTATCAATGCAGGTGGATTGAAACAAAGATAAAAAATGGACTCCGACCTAAAAAAAACGACCCAGACTGCCCTGGAGCGAAGCGAAGATGTTGAAGATGCAATGACTACCAGAGATTTAAAGACTGAAGATTGCTTCGACAGAAACCGCTGGAAATTAGGATGTCAGAAAATTCAAAGCAGTTAAATCTGCCTCTTGCTATATTTAGAGGTAGTTATATCTAAATATGTTTGAATTTTCCCTTCTTCTTCTTAAAGTGCCCTCTCCTCAATGGAGGTTGGCTACTACAATTTTAAACTCTTCTCTATCTTCAGCTGTTCTTATTAGCTGTTCAAAATTTAGCCCTGTCCATTGTCGGATGTTTCTGAGCCATGATAGTCTTTTCCTTCCTAGGCCTCTCTTTCCCTCGATTTTTCCTTTCACTATAAGTTGGGCATATTGGTACTTATTATTTCTCAGTATGTGGCCTAGGTATGATGTTTTTCTTACTTTTACTGTGTTAAAAAGTTCTCTTTCCTTGCCTATTCTATGCAGCACTTCTTCGTTTGAGGTATGCGATGTCCATGAAATTTTGAGTATTCTCCGGTAGATCCACATTTCAAAGGCCTCCAATTTATTTACGGTTGATGTTTTAAGGGTCCACGTTTCAACTGCATATAGAAGAGTCGACCAGACGTAGCATTTTGATAAACGTAGTCGAATTTCGAGTTTTATTCGAGAATCACAAAGCAGTTTTTTTTATTTTTTCGAAGGATTTTCTAGCTGTTCTATTCTCGATCTTATTTCTTGATCAGGATTTAGGCTGCTATCGATCCAACATCCCAGGTACTTAAATCTATTGACCTGTTCTAAGATGTGCCCATTTATTGTGCAAGGTTGAGGTACGTTTTGGTTTTTTCGGATTGACATCACTTTGGTTTTTTTAATGTTTATTTTCATACCAAATTGCTCACAGGTCGAGTTGGTCTTGTCGATGAGTCGTTGTAGACCTGAGTCGGAATCCGCAATTAACACTGTATCATCGGCGTATCTGATACTGTTGATATTTACGCCATTCACCTTGACTCCATCCTTGGAATCCTCCAATGCTTCTTTAAATAGAAACTCGGAGTAAAGATTAAACAGCAGAGGCGACAGAACACATCCCTGTCTAACTCCCCTCCTAATTTCTACTTCTGCGGATGTGGAACCTTCGATCCTAACTCTGGCTTTTTGGTTCCAGTACAAGTTTTTTAAGAATTTGATGTCTTTTCCATCTAAACCGACTTCTTGCAAACGTTCTAATAGTAGGTGTGTCTTACTCTATCAAATGCTTTTTCGAAGTCTATAAAGCATATAAATATATCTTTCTGTTGGTCGTAGCATTTTTGGGCGAGAACTAATAAACTGAACAGGGCTTCTCTCGTTCCCATGCCGGCTCTGAATCCAAACTGATCGTCTCCGATGATTGTTTCGCACTTTCTATAGATACGATTATGTACGATTTTTAGTAGGACTTTTACAGCATGACTCATAAGGCTTATCAGACGGAACTCATTGCAGTGTTGTGGGTTTGGCTTTTTTGGTAGTGGGATGAATATTGACTCCAGCCAATCTTGGGGTATTTTACCTGTATCATAAATGCGATTGAATAAAAGGACAAATAATTCGATATTTTCTTCGCTGATTAATTTGAGCGTTTCTGGGTATATTCCGTCTGGACCTGGGCTTTTATTTGTTTTGAGATGATTAATTGCATTTATGATTTCAGATTTCAGAATTGTTGGCCCTTCGTTGTTATTTTCCAATCTTGGTTCTTCTCGTATGTCGTGAGAAAGAATTTTAATATAGTTTTCCCACTCTTTCAGTTTATCTTCCGTTGATTCTAGCAGTTTGTCATCCGTGTTCAGCATGGTGTGAAAAGTCGTTCTCTTGGTAGTCGATGTAAACTCTTTTACCTTTTTATGTAAATTAAAAAAATCGTGCCTTTGTTGCAGTTCTTCTATTTCAACGCATTTTGTTTCCAGCCATTTCTCTTTTGCTTCGGTTATTTTTTTTTCGAATTATTCTACTTAGTCTTTTGTATTCTACGTCCTTGTCATTTTTTCCTTTAGATTCTCTTCGTTTGTTCATTAATTGTAAAATCTCTTCTGTCATCCATTCCTGTTTGTTATTTCTAGGTGTTACTTTTAGATATTTTTCCGTTACATTGTTAATTTGTTCTTTAATAATTTTCCACAGAACGTTTATGTCATCGTACTCTCTAATTCTATTGTGGTCAATATTTCCTAAATTTTTGTTTAATTCTTTATTTACTGTCTTATGTATGGTGTCGTTTTTCAATATTTGGATGTCTAATAGTTGGTGTTGAGGTTGAGGTTTTCCCATCTTGTCGTTTTGTGCCTCTCTGTTATACATTGCAGATAGTAGCTCTGTTTATTATTTTCCAGAAGTAATGTAATTTCTTTTGTGGACATTATGGGATTCTGAAATATTGTTTCAATTTCTTCCGTGCATATGTCTGCTAATAATGGTCTCCAAAAAAGAGCAACACTTTGTTAGCCAAAGTTGTATTCGTAGAAATTTTTGTTTTTTTTATTACAATATTATACTTTTTTCTAGTTCCATTGTAGAGAATAATCTGTATTTTTATTTTGCTTGTGGTGGCAATAACTGTTGATACAATGTTTTAACATAGTTAACTTATGGCGGGATACACTGCAATGAGTTTTACCATATTTATCTTATTGCTACGCTATAAACTATTTTTCTTATATTTTTTGTTAGTTAATTTTAATTTGACTGTCATCTATGAAACCAGGTGACTGCAGGATCCTGGAAGACATTTAACTAACAAGAATAAATAGACATTTCCATATTTTTGTTATTTGGTATATATAAAGTTCTATGTATATGTTATATGACGTACTGTCTGTGTCAATATGATAATATTAGTCTTGTAGTTTTAATTAGGACTGATATTTTTGACTTTCTGTTTAGGATGTGCGAGCGATAACGAAGATGATCTCGACGATGGCGGTAGTGTGGCTGGCCAACCTGCTCATCTTGGCGGCGGCGGCAGACGAATACGTCCGCGACTTGGAAGTGTCAGAAGGAGCGCCAGTGGGAACGAGGATAGGCTTCATTGGCGACGGGGCGTCCCCAAACAGCGGTCCGCCGTATTTGATCGTGCCCGTGGGAAGTGCCGTCGAAACCGATCTCTCCATCGACCAAAACACCGGCGAAATTCGGACTAAAGTGCCTCTGGATAGGGAGACCCGCGCGAGTTACCACTTGGTGGCGATACCGATGAGTGGGGATAATGTCAAAGTGATTGTTAAAGTTTTGGATGAGAATGATAATGCGCCGACGTTTCCGATGGCTGTCATGAACATTGAATTTCCTGAAAATACGCCTAGAGATGTGAAGAGGACGTTACATCCTGCTAGAGATCTGGATCTTGATGTGTATAATACTCAGAAGTACAATATAATATCTGGAAATATAAATAACGCATTTCGGTTGTCTTCCCATAGAGAGCGTGATGGTGTATTGTATCTTGACCTTCAAATTAATGGGTTTTTAGACAGAGAAACCACTGCAGATTATAGTCTAGTCATTGAAGCTTTGGATGGAGGTACTCCTCCATTAAGAGGAGAAATGACTGTAAACATAACAATCCAGGATGTTAATGATAATCCACCTGTATTCAATCAAAGCAGGTATTTTGCTACGATCCAAGAGAATGCAACAGTTGGGACTAATGTGTTGAGAGTAACAGCTACTGACGCCGACTCTGAAGAAAACGGCCAAGTTGAATATTCGATAAACAGAAGACAAAGTGACAAAGATAACATGTTTCGCATTGAATCCTCTACAGGTCTTATATCAGTCAATAAGCCGTTGGATTTTGAAATAAAAGAATTACATGAGTTGGTTATAGTAGCAAGAGATCACGGTTTGCAGCCTTTAGAAGCCACGGCGTTTGTTTCGATAAAAGTGACAGATGTTAACGACAACCAACCTACCATAAACGTGATATTTTTAAGCGACGATGCCACTCCGAAGATAAGTGAATCTGCTCAACCTGGAGAATTTGTAGCCAGAATAAGCGTGCATGATCCAGATTCGAAAACTGACTACTCTAATGTGAATGTAACACTTTCTGGAGGAGATGGACACTTTGGTCTTACTACAAGAGATAACATTATATATTTGGTAATTGTTTCTTTACCGCTAGACAGAGAACTGAAGCCTAATTATACTTTGGACGTAGAAGCAACTGACAACGGAAATCCTCCTCTGCACGCCACAAGAACCATCGATCTTCAGGTGACTGATATCAACGATAACGCGCCTGAATTTGACCACGCTATTTACCACGCAAATGTTATGGAAGTTTCGGACCCAGGAACGTCGGTTCTTCAAGTTCTTGCAATCGACAAAGATGAAGGAAACAATAGTGCGATAAGTTATTCTCTTTTGGATACTCCGGATACGCATTCGGGATGGTTCCGTATCGATTCTCGAAGTGGTTTAGTAACAACGCGGGTTCACGTGGATTGTGAAACTGATCCAGTGCCAAAATTGACGGTAGTGGCTACCGATAACGGATTTCCTCCGTTGTCTTCGTCAGCCACAGTGTTAGTGACTATTCATGACGTCAACGATAACGAGCCGATCTTCGACCAGAGCTTTTACAACGTTTCAGTGGCGGAGAATGAACCGAAAGGACGATGCATTTTAAAGGTAAGTTTTTTATTCATCTCTCTTGTAGATAGAAGTTTTGCACTGTGTTGCATGTTTTGTTTATCTGTTAGTAAAAAGATTGTTAATTGCTATAAGCTTTTCGTCTACAAACAACGCATTTGGTTAGCGTACTCGAATAATTTTTAAGTACTGTAATATTGTAGTTATTTTTAGATCGATTTATTCGGACTTATATTAAACTCTTCAATAAATTTTGATATTTGACAAGAAAAACACAATTTTATGGTTTAAAATACACTTTATTATTCAGTATAGCCTTCTAAAACATTAATTTACTTGTTTCAACGAGATTCTAATTTATGAATTCCATCTCTGAAATGAGAATCTGAAAGGGCTGCTTCCACAGCTGTTATATCCTCATTATTTGATGAAAAACGTTTTCCACGCATGAATTTTTTTTATATATTGAAATAAATGGAAGTCGCTAGTGACCAAATCTGGTGAATACGGTGGGTGCTCCAACAATTCGAACTTTAATTCATGGATTTTAGCTATTATCAAAATGCTCAAATAACACGATGCATTACCCTTATGAAAAAAGGATTTTTTTCTTCAGCTGGCATAAAAGGTTACAATAATATTCAGAATTTATTATTTTACCAGTTTTGTAAGTAATTCACAAACAAAATTTCTTTCGCATTCTAAAAAACTGATTGTACCGAAGAGGACAATATTCTTAATTATAAAAAAGTCAATCAGGTCAAGGATTTTGTTCTGATTTGTTGGCCAATTGGTTGGCTTTCTTGTCGACAGTACTTCACAGTTCAATACTGCTGCTTTTGCGAGCTTTCTTCGTTTAGTGGTACTTAATCATGATCCCTATGTAGTATGTTTGTGCACTGTAATCATCTCCGATATGAATCTAGGAGTTCAAAAGTTGTGTACAAATCTCTCTGTATTTATGTTTTGCGGACAATATATAGCTGAGACTACTAAGTTATAGGTCTTAGTCTTAGTAAAATTGATTGTCATTAATTACAAAGTTGGCATAATTAATATATAATGACAGATTGATTACGGCTGTCGCCGCTTCTCTGCCCCCAATTTCCATCTTTTTCTGTCATATGCAGTTGCCTCTTCTAAGTCTCTTGCCGCCATTGCTTCATCAATATCGTTGCGTCAACTTCTCCGTGGTCGTCCTCTCTTTCTTCTTTCAGGAGGGCTTTGTTTCAGTACTCTTTTAGGCCATCTGTACTCTGGCATTCTTTTAACATGTCCGAACCAGATTAATTGTTTTCTTTCTATATCATCATTGATATTTCGCTCCATGTTCATTTCGTGTCTAACTCTCTCCAGTTTCGATCTACCGCAGCTTCGTCTCAGATAATTCATTTCTGTCGTCATAGGTTGGTTTCTATTAAGTTTGGTGACGGTCCATACTTCAGAACCGTAAAGTGTAATACTTTGGACTATACTACCGTAAATGTGTTTCTTGGTTTCTCTCGTCGAATTGTTTTTTGCCAGAGAAGAGAGTTTAAGGCACGGGTCGCTGCTCTGCCCTCGTTTATTCTTTCTCTGATTTCATCTGCGCTATTTCCCTTCTTGTTGAAAATGACCTGCAAATAATTGCATGGTTGCACGCCTTTGATTTTGTCGTCTTCCAAGACTAGGTCACATTTCATCTGTTCCCACTGAGAGCTATTCACATTTTGTCATATTCATGTTTAGACCTGGCAACCCATATTCTTCTTGCAGTTTTCTTACCATATAGCTAAGATCGTAGCTGTCTTCGGCAATTACTACCTGGTCATCCGCAAAGAAAAGTGTATATAGCGTGTTTTCTTCCACCGTCATTCCTATGTTTCTATATTTTTTTACCCATTTCTGTAAGGATCTGTCCAAATAGATTTTGAATAAGGCTGGTGACAGACAGCAGCCTTGTCTTAGTCCTTTTGTTGTTTAAAAGGAGAGGTGATTTCTTGTCTCATTTTAATTCTTGCAAAGTTTTCTAAGCAGTATTTTTGAGTGGCGTTAGTAAGAATTGGCTTTATTTTTAAGTTACCCATTTCTGTGCATAGTTGGGAGATCGGTACACTTTCATATGATTTTTCGAAATCTATTAAAGCTATATGGATTTCTCTATTTCTCTGCACCCATTTTTCCATTGCAATTTTTAACGTGAAAATATTATCCATAGTGGAGCATCCGGTCCTAAATCCCGCTTGCTCTTCGGGTTCGTTTGTCTTTAATATCATTTTCTATCAGGTTTCTTAGTACTTTTGAGTATAGTCGGCCTATAGTAGCAATCACTGCGATCCCTCTATAGTTTCTAGGATCCGTCTGTGTGCCTTTCTTCCGTATTGGAGAGATATACGATTGTCTCCATTCTTCTGGAACTTCTTCTCTCTTTAAGCATCTTTCGAATAATTTTCGGATCATCTCAAACAGTTTTGATGATCCATACCTAATCAACTCTGGATGTATTCCGCCTGGGCCTTGAGATTTTCTCAATTTCATTCCCTTAACTGCTTCTTTCACTTGTTCTATTGATATTTCTATTCTTTCTTCTACTTCCACTTGTTCATTTGTCTGTTTAAACATTTCTCTTCTATCTGTTAATAAGTTCGCAAAATGCTCTACCCATGTGGCACAATTAATCCTTCTTTATATATTAATATTGAAAGGATCTTCATGGTGGTCTGGGTTCCTGTTGATCTTAAATCTTTTGTTATTCGGGCTGGACTCTTAAGTTGCTATGCAGAGACAACCAACCAACTACTATAGCCTTAGCCAAATATACTCTGGAAAATAACCATTTTTTCGATTCTGAAAATATACAGTTTTAAGAAGGATAATAATAAAATATGTAATTCTCTCTTAAGAAAATCCAGAGCAGGTTATCTGTGAGCTTCTTTTTTTTATGTAGACATGACTTTGTCATTGGGAGTTCATTCGGTGTTTTGTATTCTCCTAGTGATTTTCTATTTTTATCTGGGAACATATCAGATAAATGAAAAGGATTCACCTAACATAAAGCTTCTAGATCTATTAATCCTGTACTCTAGAATTGTAGCAATAACAATACAATTTTCTTTAAGATTGGTAAATTTTCGTTGTCGATCGGATAGCCAAGCGGCTGGGCTGGCTTCTCCTTCGCTTCAATGCGAGAGATGTCAGTTCAAATCCCCAGCTCGGTGTACAGAAAAACAAAAAGGCTAACGCAGCAGTTTAAAATTCTAAATGAATCTGCGGCTTAGTCTAGAATATGCTGGTATTGGATCGGCCTATGGTGGAGCAGTACGGCAAGAGATAAGGGCTTGCGGCTCGGTGATACTCCTCCATAGGTCCCTACCGGAAAGGTGTGTGCCGCCTAAATACCGAGTATATATATAAATTTGCATTGTCACAAGCAGTGCAAGATTTTGAATAACTGTGGCGGCGTATAAATCTCTTTTTCTACTCATAATTTTCTAGAAAGGAATGGATTGTTTGGCAGTCCTCCTATTAATTTGGTACTAAAAACATGTGTATAATAAGTGACCAGTTATTGTTGGCAATACCTCTAATGGTTTTAGAAGAATATCAAACTTGAGCGTTGTGCATATTTTAACCGGTGAATATCGTCAGAAACATCTAAAGTATTTTTTTCTAGGTACCTTTACGGCCCGTTTCAGTCCATCGTATTATTTTTCCGTATATTTGATCAGAGATCTTTTTCTCTCGAAGATGTCATTGCTTTTGATGCAATATATGAAAACCGGGACTATCATAGTCCCGATAGTTATTAGACCCAATTTAATAAACATTGATTGGATGATTAAAAAAACAGCATTTGTGGATTACTGCCCGGTTTTATGGCCCGATTTTTAATAAAATGTATCATACATTCTGCTTTTAATGGGTTTTTAAGAGTAAAACTGGTTTTAAGTAACTTTAAATTGCCTGTAAACGTTTAATAAGAAATTCCGTAACGAATCTCAAACACGAAAAGACTTCTAACAGTTTCATTCACGTAACAAGTACCGTAAGGTTCCGTCGAAAAATGCGAAAAAGAAAATCGCGAACAAAAACCCGGCTATTAAAATATCAAGCCTTCTTTATAACGCGAGACAACCCTATTCTATGTACACAACGCAGCAAAAAGAACAAAGTAAACAGTTATCCATTATCCTCGGAACACGTCGATATCAGCGACATTAATGGATTTTTTAAAATCTAATCAGGAAGCTGCGATTTCTTTCGTCCAATAACGAGCTTATTGAAAAATTCAATAGCGTTTTTTAGAAGGCGAGGCACGGTAATAGAACTGGACCGTTTCGAGCATATTGGTTTACCAAACCACCAAACACCAAACAGGTTTTTAATTTAATTGTTTTTATTATACAGAGGAGATCAAAAATGAGATAAGTTTTTTATAATTTTGGTAATTTCTACCCCTTTAATGAGATATATCAAAACAAAAAAGAGGTTAATCTTTGTAATTTGGTATATTTAAAAACCCTTAAAAGGGCTACATCAAAAAACACAATACGAACTGTTTTCGGAATGACAATTCCATCATCAGGTATTAAAAAAACACTAGGTTGACATACCTGAGCCACCAAAATAATTGGGTAAAAACCCTTTAAAATAAATGTAGTTATAAAAGATTGTACATAATGTTGTTTTAAATATCTGATGTTTGATACTAAGTTAGATTTGGCTTCAGGTAACATACACCCATGGTTTGAATGAGTTTCCAGTGTCCGGAGAGTAAACCTCTTCAGACGGACTACAGCTGGTAACTGTACAGAATTTAAACTTTAAAAATTCGTAATTCACATTGTTCTCTGCAGATTAAATTGAAATTTATACAAAACGTAGTCTAAACAGTTTATTACAATATGGCTTCTTCTTCAAGTGCCATATTCGTTCCGAAGGTTGGCGATCATCAGGGCTATACGTATTTTCGAAACTGCTGACCGAAACAATTCGTTGTTGCTACAGCTATACCATTCCCGTAGATTCTTTAGCCAGGAGTTTCGTCTTCTTCCTATGGACCTTTTTCCTGCTATTTTCCCTTGCATAATTATTCGAAGCAGTTCATATCTTTGGCCTCTTGTAATGTGTCCAAAGTATTGCAGTTTTCGTTTTTTGATCGTAAATATGACTTCCTTTTCTTTATTCATTCTTCTCAAGACCTCGACATTTGTGACTCTCTCGGTCCTTGATATTCTCAGGATTCTGCGATACATCCACAGTTCAAATGCCTCTAATTTTTTGGT